TGGGAGAGGGAAGGGGGAGAGAGGAAAATCCCGTCTTATGACGGGCTAATTGGCTAGTATAATAAGAAAAGCCAAAATGGAGTTTGAAGAGCAGCTAAACAAAAACTCAAAAATAGTAAAATACATTTTAAGTACTTCAGAAGCTACCAGTGGGACTACTGGACAATCGAGATGCTAAAGGAGCACTCAGAGATTATAAAGCCATTGCAGAGAAACCAAATCAATTATTTGCTTTGGTCTTCTCAGCTGAGGATATTGGGGAGATTCCCAAACCTGAGCCATTCTTTTTAGGTGACAAATCTCAGGAATTGTTTCAGTTTGAGGTGTCATTAGAGGAGGTTTTGGAACAAACTGATAAACTGAAGAGTAACAAGTCATTGGGACCAGATGGCATTCGCCCGAGAGTTCTGAAAGAACTCAAATGGAAGTTGCGAAACTATTAACTATGGTTTGTAACTTATCTTTTAAGTCAGCATCTGTAGCTAATGACCGGAAGATAGCTAACATGACTCCAACATTTTAAAAGGGCTCTGGAGGCAATCGTGGCAATTACAGACTAGTACATTTAACGGCAATACCGGGCAACTTAGTTAAAACTATAGTAAAGAATAAAATTGTCAGATACATAGATGAACATAATTTGTTGGGGAAAAGTCAGCATGGCTTCTGGAAAGGGAAATCATGCCTTACTAATCTACTAGAGTTCTTTGAGGGGGACAAACAAATGTGAACAAGGGGAATCCAGTGGCTATAGTGTACTTAGATTTCCAGAAAACCTTTGACAAGGTCCCTCATCAAAGGCTCTTAAATTGTCATGGAATAAGAGGGAAGATCCTCCTGTGAATTGATAACTGGTTAAGACAGGGGGAAAAGGGTAGGTCATTTTTGAGAATGGGGAAATGTAACTAGTGGTGTCCCCCAAAGGTCCATACTGGGACCAATACTATTCAACTTATTTATAAATGTTCTGAAGAAAGGGGTAAACAGTGAGGTGGCAAATTTTGCAGATGATACTGAACTGCTCATGACAGCTAAGACCAAAGCAGACTGTGAAGAGCTTCAAAAAGATCTCACCAAATTAAGTGATTGGGCAACAAAATTTCAGATGAAATTTATTGTTGGTAAATGTAAAGTAACACCCATTGGAAAAAATAATCCCAATTATACATACAAAACAACAAATGGGCTGGTAGCACTTTATAGACTAACAAAACATGTAGATGGGATCATGAGCTTTCATGGGCACAGATCACTTCTCTAGTTATCTGAAGAAGTGAGCTGTGCCCATGAAAGCTCATGGATCCCATCTACATGTTTTGTTAGTCTATAAAGTGCTACCAGACCATTTGTTTTTTTTTTTCTGTAACAGACTAACTCGGCTACCCCCTGAAGCTTCTATACATACAAAATGAGGCCCCTGTTTTGCACCCAGTGGAGGGGTTAAAAGCTGGGTTACTCCTGGCCATGATCACTTTCTTGCAGACTTTGTGTCTCCTCTTTGCACCTTCCCCTCCCTTTCTTCCCTTGGTTACCATGGTGACCCCTTGCTCAATTAGCCCCTTATCTTCAAGAACTCCAGGAGGAGGAGTCAGCTTGTGCTTTCTCTGACATTCAGCCTGTCTAAACTAAAGACCAGGCGGGGAGCAAGATCACTATTTAACATCCACCCTTTTGACTCCACATTCACCTAACACCTGTCAAGGCAGGCCCTCCTGTGAAACTTTGGGCTGGGCCAGGCCTCGCTCCCCAGCAAAATCCCTTGGGGGTGATTGTGGTTTTTTTTCAGATCCCTGCAGAGCGCTGAGCTGCCGGGAGAAGGAATCATGCAGGATTAAGGACGGCCAGGCAATATGTTTCCATAACTACATGGGAACCTGCCAGGGGTCCCTGGCCTCCCAGTACTACTCCTTTGATGGCCTGACCGTGGGCGTCCAAGACACCTGCACCTACACCATCGCCAAGTACTGTGGCCATGACCCCACCCTGGAGCCCTTCAGCATCGAGGAGAACAGCACCTCCATAGAGAAACAGGCCAGTCCCAGCCTTGGCGTGACCACCATCCATGCCTATGGCTACAACATTTCCATCTACAAGGGTGAGAATGGAGAAGTCAGGGTGAGTCGTTTTATTCTAGTCACTTTTCTATTTACAATTAGAGCTGGACACATTTATACACTTTATTCGACAAAAAAGGAAATTTCAGTCACTTCAAGACTAGTTGTGAATTTGACTCAGATGCTTTTAGCCAATGGCGAAAGGAGTTGCTGCATTGCCAGTTTTTATCCCACTCTTTAGGGTACTCAGCTAGGAAACAAAAGACCCGTGTTCAAATCCTACCTCTGGAGTGGGTCCCAAATGGACCTTGGAATTTCCCCAAAATTCAAATTCGGAACCACTTTTTCTTTTAATTTTTTGCAGCCACCACCAAACTGAAAAGTTCATCCCAATCTACATAGAATCCTAGAGTTGGTAGAGACCTTGTGAGGTAATTTAGTCCAATCCCCTGCTCAAAGTAAGACCAACCACAACTAACTCATCCCAGCCAGGGCTGGGTCAAGCCAGGACTTGAAAACCTCTAGGGATGGAGATTCCACCACCTCCCGAGAGAACCCATCCCAGTGATTCCCCATTCTACAGTGTTGCTCTGTAAGGAGCCCTCCAGGTGAACTGTAGGGGAGTGAAAACCTGTGGAAGAGGAGACATTCCAGTCCCCTGAGGAAAGTCTGCGGCTACGTCTAGACTGGCCCCTTCTCCGGAAGAGGCATGCTAATTTAAAACTTTGGAATAGGGAAATCTGCGGGGGATTTAAATATCCCCTGCGGGATTTAAATAAACATGTCCGCCGCTTTTTTTCCGGCTTGGGGAAAAGCCGGAAAAAAGCATCTAGACTGGCGCGATCCTCCGGAATAAAGCCCTTTTCAGGAGGATCTCTTATTCCTACCTTCAGGCATTGGTCACTTCAGGCATTGGTCACTTCAACCTGTGCCGATCAAGAAAGGCTTCTTTGTCGGCGCGTCGCGTCCAGACTGCCCCGATCTGCCGACAAACAGCTGATCGGCAGAGCGCGGCAGCCATTTAAATTTAAATGAAGCCGTGATTATTTAAATCGCGGCTTCATTTACCCTTTGCCAAACAAACAAATGTACATGGCTCCATCGACGGAGCCATGTAGTATAGACGTACCCTAAGGAGCCCTCCAGATGAACTGTAGGAGAGTGAAAACCTGTGGAAGAGGAGACATTCCAGTCACCTGAGGAAAGTCTGCATGTTTCAATGTGTGTTGTCATTGCAAATCAGGATGAAGTTGAAAATATCAAATGTTTTTGTGCAATTAAAGTTCCCAAACATTTGGAAATGTCCCCTCTCTAATGTTTCAAAGTACTCTAGAATCCACGTGCATGCTCCAATTGTCTTGAAAATTCATGTGCTTCTTAGAGGTTGGATAGTTAATCGAGTCACTAGTGGCTTTCAGTTTGGCCATACTGCATCAGATGCATCTCTGACAGTGACCAATGCCAGACGCTTCTGGAAGTTCAAGGGTTACAGACACTGGAGTGTAGGGCTGCATCCCTGACCAAAATGGCCAGCAGCCATGGATGGACCTGCCCTCTGTAAAGTCATCACACTCTCTTGTGAACCTGGTTATACTTTTGGCCTTCACATGATCCCTTGGCAACTAGTGTTCTCCAGACTGATTAGCAGAGCATCCACAGCTAAGGTTTGTGTTTCTATGGGTAGTGCATATTCACATATGCCTTTGTGCACATAAAACATTTATTCCGCACATGGACAAAACAGATTAGAGGGCAAGATTCCACAGGTTGACTGTGTTGTGTGAAGAAGTACCTCCTCGTATTTGCATTAAACCCACTAAATTCCATCAGGTGATCGCCAGCCTTTGAGTTATATGAAGGGGTTAACAGCACTTCCTTACTCACTTTCTCCACACCGGTCAGGGTTTTGTGCACCTCTGTCATATCCCCTTAGTCATCTCTTCTCTGAGCTGAATATTCCCAGTCTTCTTTAATCTTGCCTCGTGTAGAAGGTGTCCCCAAATCATCTGTTTCCCTTCTCTGTACCTTTCCCACTGTCAGTATATCTTGCTGGAGATGGGGCCAAGCTCTGTGCAGGGAGGTTCCAGAACAATGGGGCTGGTCTCCATATTTTGCCTGTCCTAGTGTCACATTTTCATGCACAACTGCGGCAGAGCAGTGTTGCCTAGTGGCTAGAGCCTTCAAAAGCCTTTCATGCTATTGCTGCCATTGCTGCTGGCACAGTGAGAGCGTCACTGCTCTGCTCTGCGATCCAGGTTTCCCTTCTGTAAAATGGCGGTTGTGATACTGGACTCCTGAACTGTGCACCTGCAGCGCTACTGATGAAAGCGCCTTATGTAAGAACTAGACATTCTCATTCGCAAGTGACCATTGCTTTAACTTTGTGTTTCCTGGTTTTGAGATGTTTACGTTTAGCCACAGTCTGGACTCTGGAAGGGCGCAAGGAAGCGCTGGGCGATCTTACCCAAAGGTTTTTGGCACTGAAGTTTCCCTTGTTTTCTGTCTCATTTGGTTTTGGGGATATTTATGGCAGAGACTCGTTATGATCAAAGGCCCAGGGAGCTCAC